TATATATATATATATATATATATATATATAGTAGTATATATATATATATATATATATATATATAACGTAGTATATATATATATATATATATATATATATATATTACATGTATGTGTATGTGTACAAGAATAGGTATCTGTTGGATATGAGAATAGATATGTACATGAGTATGCTAATAGCTACGTGTACATGAGTGCGAATAGGCATGTGCATTTATGTTGATAGGCACGAGTCTGAGAATAGGTATAGATATGAGTGTGTATGAATAGACGTATGAATAGGCATGTGTATGTGTGAATAAATAGGCATGTGTATGTGTATATGGATACGTACGTATATGTGTATGTGTAAGTAAATAGACGTGTGAATGGATAGTGAATGGTGCGTGCACGTGTTTGTGAACAGACAGGTATATGGATATGTGAATGGGTATTTGTGCGTTAAAAGTGTACGTGTACGCCTATACATATGTATGTATGTGTGTAAAAATGTGTGAATAGGCATGTGCCTTTGAATGTGAATAGGTGAGTATACGTGAGTGTGAGTAAGCCTGTGGATTTATATGTGAACAAGTTTGTGAACGTGTACATGTGGGCGAATAGACATGTGCATGGGTATGTCAATAGGTATATAGTATATATATGTGCGTGAATAGGCATGTGCATAATGTTGTACACGAATAGGCATGTTGATGTGGATAGGTATGTGGATGTGGATATGTATGTCTATGTAAATGTATATATGAATAGGTATCTATATGAATAGGGGTATGTGAATTGGCATGCGTATGTCTATGGAGATAGGTACGTGTATGTGTATATGTGTGAATAGGAATGTGAATGGATATGTGAATAGGTGAATAGGTACGTGTGTGTGTATGGTTATGTCAAAAGTTATGTTTATGCGTATGTCTGTATGTGATAAGTCATGCGTATGTGTATGTGGATAGATATGTATATATGTTATGTGTATGTGAACAGGTATATGTATGTGTATGTGTATGTGAATAGGCGTGTGTATGGGGCCACTTCACATTTTTTTTAAAACACATGCAACCATTTGTTTGTTTTTTAGTCCACGTAATATGTAATTATGCGAGAATCCTGCGGTCCATCGAATTCTCTCGCCTCTATAGAGAGCGCCTTGACCACGGTGACACGGTCCTGCGGGCGGGGGGGGGGGTGAAGATTTTTGCAATGACTATGGTCTTATCGCAGCCATCTCAACCACCCGCTATTTCATGATAACAGTCCTGTTTAAAATATGACTTGTAGCAAAGTAATTTCAGACGAGAAAACATAAACGATCACTTTTATAAATCATATTTATATATCTAATACACAAGATCAGAATCAATAAGAGACATGAACAGAATATTTCAATTTCGGGTTAAGACGCTTTTGTTGTTTATTTTTGAATATTGTGAACTTTTTTTTTTGAATAATTTAGTGCTTAGAGATTCTGACCAATTAAAAGAAGTATGAACCGTGACAACGTAATTTTTGACAGCCAATGACCAATTTGCAATGAATTTTTTTTGAATTTTTTAGATACATTGGTTGCGAAGGAGAACACATATGCTCTCAGCCAATCATGTATATTATTGTTGTTTGGTGGCCGATTTGGGTCATCTCTGGGGCGTTTACTCAATATCGAGCCACAATCGAACATAAATTTGTGAAAAATGAGAATATTCTTCTGGATATGTATACGCCCGTTCACTTCTTATACCACTACCACTCTGCTACTTTTCACAACCAGTATAAGTGTGAGTTTTCAAAATCGCTGAACACGTCTACCAGCAGATTATTTAAATCCAAAGTTCCCAACCTACCTAAACAAGAATGAAGGTCGTATTTGCACTCGCTTCCCTTTTCGTTGCCACTGCCTATGGTAAGCACGGTCAGGTTGAGTTCTTCAACACTGTGGATTGCAGTGGGGACCATGTTTTGAACAGTGGATTCGATAGCATGCAGAAGCTGTGTACTCAGCAGAGCACCGCCGTAAAAGTGTCCGAGTTGGGTGATGTTGAGTACAGATTCTTCCGTCTGAGTAACGATTACGACACCGAGGTACTAATGTTCCCCACCGAAGCTGAGTGCCAGGACTATCCCCTTCAGTTCACCACCACCGAGGAAGTTGCCTTCATTCGATCGACCGACGGTGGAAAATGCCAAGTGTGTATGCGCTGTGGTGACAATGTTAAATCCGTTAAAATTACTCCTCTAATCAGCTCTACCGATGTAAACAGCAAGAGCAATAACGAAAACAGCGCCGGATCATTTGCACCCACGACCGTAGGAGCCTTGGCAGTCGCCGGAGCCGCCTTCCTCCTGGCCTAAGTGTTAATATAATACAATGGATAGTGTATATATAGGAAACATGAATTATTGAATACCTTCTGGATCGTCTCTCGTCAGGGCTTTGTAACTCCGATAGATTGAGGCACATTATTTTCTTCTATAATAAAAAAAGGCTGTGGATCAAACTATGTTCGTGCTAGCTTAACATTTCATATATCTATATAACCTTTCCCCGGCGTTGGCGCCGGGGATAGTTGCTACCTGATTGGAACGTTTGATTCGAGAGATCTGTAGTTGACCAGCCCCTCCCGCGATGTTGAGCACCACGACAAGTAGGTATTCCATTTTAAGTGTAGCTGTATTTACGATGTGGTTTTTGCCTATTTGCGTTCGAGTTCTGTGTCTTTCATTCACAGGCTGAATTCCTCAATTTGACGATCGCGCTATTGCTTCAAAGTTCAATGTATAATTTGAGTACCGATGATATAGATATGTACACATGTGTTAGTATTCCATCTAAAGATAACATCTGCGTGTATAGTTTTTGTCATCGGTAAATATCTCTGCACGTGCAAATATATGTTAAGGAATATATGCAGTCTATTCTCAGTCGTTATCTGTATATGAGCTACATGTAAGTATCATTTATTTTATTTGCACACCATCAGAAAGCTAGAAGATAGATTGCTGTAGTTTATTGCTGACCAATCGGCCCATAAAGCTAGATGTTCGTGTGCTATTCTTGTCGCTCCATGAGTAAGTATGACCTGTGCATACTGAGCAATATATACTGCTGATTTTCAGTCGTCACCAGTTCAAGCGCTACTTGTATAGAGAACCTACTCGTACACCGTGAGTACGCTTGAAGATGGCTTCCAGCAAGCTGTCCGAACAAAGGAGCGTTTCTTTTACTTGGTAAATCGACTTACAATACTATTTGCGTGCTATTAATGTCACTGCACGTACAAGTATATGCCTGTACAGGTGGAATGTATGCAGTCGAGTATCAACCGTTTCCTGTTTACGCGCTACGGGTATATATCATCTTGCACACCATTAGTGCGCTAAGAGGTAGTTTGCCATAAGTTGTTGAAGTAATAGCGTTTCTCTCTTTCTCGTGTAATAGTCGATATCATTAGGCATTAAGTGGATTTAGAATAGAGCAAATTCTGGAGGCGTAGAGAAAAATCAGCGGAAACATGTTTGTTCTTGAAACCGTCTTATGCGTGTCAATATGTTTAAGGCAAAGTTTGCCAAATTTTAAAGATGCTGCCCAGATTGCTGGTATGATGTCAGCGGTATTTGTTGCCAGAACAAGTTAATTGGCCAAAAATATATCAAAATCGTGCACACTTTGGTGTTTCTATTACCCAAGTCTATTTGTCGTATCAGTTGCTTGAAATGGCTTATTGTTAGGCCTGGATCGTTCCGGTATGGTGGACTCTGTAAAACACAGTAATGGCAGACTGCGATCCAGCTGAGTTATTTGTTTTCTGTTGCTGTTGTTTTGTCAAGTGCCGAGTCTTGTCCAATTTCAGTGTATCACAGTGACAGATTAGCATTTATGGTTACGTGGATTGTGATTGTTGGTAGTACAGCACTGTCGACTATACACCGCATGTATTATAGTGTGTTCCTCGCAGTGGGATACGAGTTGCACTTGGTTCTGGATCGTACAATCATGGGTGTCCCTGACCTTGCCTCTTTCAACAATGGCTGCAAGCAAGGAGAACCAATAATTCAGATGTGGGTATTCTTGGAGTGTGTTCTGTTCATATCCTGATTACGGTAAGGGTGAGTGATGTGAATACACCCAACACGAAAACCTATATATCACGCCTGGACAACACTCAAATGTTTATAAACGTATACCTTGACTGGTTCCAAACGTTTTGAATGCATTTCACATCATTGCAGAGTAAATATTTCCTTGAAACCCAGATGGCGAGCATCAGAAATCTGACGAGGGGTCAGTGCCTTTTGTTTTTCGTGCCTACGTAATTGTGAGCGACACGGTATGATGAAATATTTGCAAGTGTGTATATCAGTCAATAAATAGTACTCATCTCAACTGGTTTTGTAGCAATATATCCGTCTTCTCGAAGGATTCTGAGGCCAGCAAGAGAGATGAATATTACTGTGGGTAAATTTGAGGGTCTAGAGACGCCTACATGTGCTGCGAAATATAGACCACTGCAACGGCGCATGCAAAACATCAGAATTGATTCAGTCGCCTCAGATGTTTTCTGTCGCCACGGATTCCGCAGCTGAAAGATGAGTTGATTGTTTAAAGTTTGTATATGTTGGAATCTGATACTGCAAATGAGGAATTGGTGAGGTGTGTATTCCATGCGCTTAGATTACCGGTGTACAATTGCACAGTCGCTCGTACTACACTAGTTCCATTTCAAAGTTGCGTTGTGTATACTACAAAACATTTAGGCAGTGACAATGCATACGGAACACATGCATTTCATTTCAAGGTAGAGCAAAACTGATCCGTTAAGGACATTGCTGCAGCTTAATCCACGGTATAAATCGGTATCAGCTTCCAACTTTGTTCGAATGTGGTTTCGCGATTACGTAGCATTTTTCTATTCATTGTGTGCTTGAAATTGAAATTAGTGGAAATACAGTCGCGGGTGCGCTGGTCATATATTTTATGTGATTGAAGTGATCGAAGTAGTATATACCTACAAGCTACTATGTGTATACTCAAGCACCTTATCATTATCCAACATTCACATCAGCATATTGAATGAGTAAGAATATAGTTGTACCTCTTCCCTCGAGTTATGTACAGGAATTGACAAGTTGGCTGGTATTACACTGTCATCGCTCTGTCGGATATAAATAGCGCTCAAAGCTGGGCGTTTAGCCGGTGACATATGTCAAAGTCCACCGCCGCGCATATATTCTAAAAAAAAGAGCTGTTGCTAAATATATAAAGTACCATCGTCTCACAAAACCTGATCTTTTGTAATTATCTGATTAGCTCTATATAATATTGCTCATAGTTAGATTGGAAAGATGGAATATCAAGATATCATCACACATCCCTGTCAACTGTTTGGCATAATAAAATATCTATGCATATGATACATGTACGGCTCTCACATTTTTCGACTTCAATCTAATATTATAATTTTGTTCATTGACAGTGTAAATGTGTGTTACGCATGCATACATGCTGTGAATGTGTATGACTACCTCATGGTAATAGTCTCGGTACTGTGACTACTTTCAAATAGGCACTTAGGTTTTAATTCGGAAACGCGACTATAAAAATCTAGTCATTTATTTTAAATACTAATCATCTGTCTCTGAATGTACTCGTGTAGACAATGACTTCTGGTACGGTTGGCGAGTACGCGGTGCAAACGCTGGATCCCCTATGCAATATGTTAATAAATAAATAGAAGCACTTTCTGCAATATTTGACACCCGGATTTGAAAAATGGGACGAGTTAGCGTCACACTCCACATTTTCCTGGCCTAGACAGACTTGTATCTTATTTATACATCTATTACACTATTCATATTTGTTATTACTCGTTGATGCTCCAAAGCCGTTTGTAAATTAGCTAATGATCCATTCAGCGTGTGCCGTGACGGGTGCGAAGTGTAGTTGCGTCGTGCTGAAATGACCGGCATTAATTGGATTCCAGACGCGGAGTACTGTCGTTTGTTATGCTGTTCTTGTTGCGTCTGTGCCGCTCTAGAGACTTCCCAGTCGTGGTTAAGTATGTAGTTAAGGTCACATGATAAATTGCGTTCACTAATTATAAATAGCGCGTGGTGCACGAGTTCACGGATTAGTTGTGAAGGCGCTGCAGCTACCACTATGGAGCCGGTTTTACTGTATTTTTTGGCACGCTGAAACAATTGAACGAGTAGCCGTGGGTGTACCGCAAGTGTGTATGTACCACCTATGCTAGCTATAAGCTCCCCGGCTTTCAACCCCGCCTTGTCTCCCAGCCCGCCCTCTGAAACGCGAGTAATTGTACCCTTCTCGGAGAAGGATAAACCGATGGATTCCTCTACTACACTTTCAGAGCCGAAACTAGAGACTTTAGCTCTGTGTATTCGAGAAAGATAACTGCTATGACGTTTGAGACTACCTTGCGCGTGTTCAGTGTGTGATTGAAACTTCATCAAATGATTTTCAAGTATGGCCTTGTCTACTACTTCTACTGTGATATCTGTCAACGAGCTGAGGTACAAATACACAGCGCTGATTTGGCCGTCGAATGAGCTTACGGGTTTGTTGTTGATACGTGTGATCTCGTCTCCAAAATTTAAACCAACGCGATACGCCGCTGATAGATGGCGAAAGGCCGGGCACACAGTGCTGAATTTATCTATCCAAACTACAAGCAACCGCCCCCTGATAAACCTCATCTCACATCCAAAGTAGTCACTCTTTGACTTGCTGACTGTCAATTCGCGCTTGGGCTTCTGACACAGGGAAATCTGGTCGTATTCGGTTTCGGCCGTGATGATACTTGAGCTAGACTCTACACCATATGCGGATCCAGTACGCGCTGAACTCGATGCAACTGCATAAAACGAGGCCGCAATAGCGTGGAATGGAGACGTGCGCACAACAGGTACCTCAGGGAAATGTTGTCGCACATTGGGAAGTGTTTGGGCTCTACAAAATGCGGTCACCTCACTTGCGCTCAGACAGGATAGCGTGTTCCTGTGACCATCTCTATTCGAATATATATTGGCAGGGTACGCAAACAGCTTAGGACGTGTATCGGTGCGGGTCATCGCTGAGACTGATATTTCTATAAATATATATAGTGTGTAAACTTACTGGAACTTGTTAGCGAGAGTAGAGAGGTGAGATGTGGATCAGTGCTCCACTATCAACAAAATGATACTGTGAACACTGAACTGTCTGTGATATATAGTCAGCGCTGTCTGCGAAGGTCGTGTGCTGTGTGAGAACTGACAACTGACAACTGACACAAGTAACAAACTATCAACGCGTCTTGCACACAGCCACACACTCACAGCAGTGAACAGACAAACTGGCAATATGGCTTTCACTATATTTTGTACACGCGCGACCTACATAGTGTAACCAATGATATCACCTTTCGAGCTCGAAGCTACAATGAGTCACTGCGATTATGATTCAGACGAATCAGAACTCCCTAATGGACTGGATAACATGGACTAGATCTGGCACTTGCACCAAAATTTAAAAAAAGAAAAAGCAGCACGACTCTCAGACTCTCAGTCTCTCAGTCTCTCAGAGACTCAGACTTCTCAACTCTCAAGTCTCATCTCTCAAGAAACACACTCCTCATCTCATCAGGGATGCCATTCAGCAGTCAAGAATCAAGACTCAAGCCAGAGCCAACTTGGGCTCATCATTAGTACTCTGCAGGTGTGGACTCTGGACTATGTACTCTGGAGTGAGAGATCCTGTTAGAGACAGTGGTCATTGGTTATTTATTTCTAAAAACTGGTTTTATCTTGATAAATGAATGTTTTATTGTTCTTTTATTTATATATAAAAATACGATACATAGGTCTCTCGGGGTTTTTATTATAAAAGTAACAATATGTAATCATATGTACTATTACTACATACTGAAAAGCAAAGTCCATACTCCCATCGTCCATAGCCGTCTTCTTAATTATTAAATACAAACGCCGTTTTGAACTTTTGCATAGCACGGGCCGGCTGGCCCCCTCTATTTTTTTTTGATTCGAAAATCAACTCGATAGTCGAGGACTCGAGGCGTCCAGCCTGCCAGGGGCTTCCAGCGAAGATTTTAGTATCGTTTTTTTTTAATATTCAAAAAAAACAAAACAAAGACAGAAACAAAAATTGTAAATATCGAACTTTTGAAATAGTAAGTATGTATAGGTTTCAATTTAGAGAAGGGTGTAACTGGTAACAGCTTGTATCTGTTGCTTCTCATTTTCACTGCTGTGTATGTGAGCCTGATGAGTGTATGATTTGTACAAGTCGCAAGTCGTGAACGCACAGTCAGAACGACATGATTGGAGGAATAGAACATCTTGCCCAGTTGGGCCGCTTCCATACTCTCATGGACAGAGCTTTAGGTGCTTTATGGATTAAGGGATCACGAGACTACACCGACAACACGGACGATGAGCTTCGTACACAGGTATGCTTGGTCGAGATATTTTGTGTGTGTGTAGCGTGTGCTGAATCTTCAGCCGCTGTTGCCCTTCTGTTGTGTAAATTCCCCGACATTCCACATAATAACACTCAATCTATACCTAAATATTGAATGTATGTATATATGTATGTATGTATGCACGTATGTATGTATATATGTATGTATATATGTATGTATGTCTGTATGTATTTATGTATTTATGTATGTATGTATATGTATGAATGTATGTATGTATTTATGTATGTATGTGTAAGTGTGTGTGTATATATATGTATATATGTATATATACATATGTATATATATATATATATATACATACACATATATATTTATACAAATGAATGTATCTATAATATATATATATATATATATACTTATAAACTTGTATATCTGTATACTTGCATACTTGTATACTTGTATACTTATACACTTATACTCATCTACGTATATCTATGTTTTCCTGCGCACATGCATGCATATAAGTACGTTTGGGCACACATACACACAAATGAACACATGTATACCTGGTAGTGTGAACATGTATGAATTTAATAATTGTAGTCTTTGTACTTTTGCGCTTTTTTTGTGCAGTATATCATACGAGGGCGTATGTGTCTCGTTTACACATTGATTATTGTCGACTTATTTCAAGAGGTCATATTCACTTTTGGCTGGACTCTCATATATAGCAAAGTGGGATGTATCTGGCATACTGTATATTTCAGAACTGATCATTTTCCTGAGACATAGCACAAACATACATCCATTTCTGTACACGGGACATTTACCTCGGTTCAGGTCGTCTACCTGAACCTTGTTATTTTATTCATCCCGTGTGTATATAGTATGTGTATACGGGATCAGCGTCGCGACATATTTTCATTGTTTGTCAGAACAGTAGACTTTAAGTTTTTTTTTAACCACCTTTCATGGATTCTCCTAGTTTCTTCTTTCAGTTATATCAAACAGTATTCGCGAGGTATAACGAGGATTTCAATGAGCAGATGCAGCGTATCGAAACATCTATGATTCTTCTTGAAATTTGGAAACGTATGAACAATCAGTCGACTCCAGCTTGGAAATTACTCGAGGTGGTTTGACTATTCTCATTTCACTATAAATCACAATATATCTCGTTGCTCATCATTATAGTACGGCCGACAGCATATTTCATAGCGAAACAATGCTGTGCCATGCGACAAATCGGTGCTTCTTGTACGCATGAACATACCTCAAAAATGATGCAAACAAAAGATACCATTTTGTGATGCAGTCGAAGCGCAAATATGCTAATGCTCGTGAGATTTTATTAGACTACAAATATTTTAAGAGTTCTATCATAGCCCAATACTCTTCCACTTAGGGCCGATGATTATTTGTGCGGCGTAGTTACCTTTCACAATTCACCAATATTTAATGAATTCTTTTACCATTCAATCGATATCCTTTCAGACAAAATGTGCTCAGAAGGTTTGGGAACATACTGAAAAGCATCCACGCATGAGCGACAAGGATTCTGCCAAGCTGCTTGGTGAGCTTTCGTATTAATGTTCTTCCAATTGGGGTATTATGTCAATTGTGATATCCTTTGCCATATTTTGTGTTATGTTTGGTAGAATCTAACTGTCCTGTTTTTTATATTGTTCGAATTCAACAGCGCTAACAATCATCACCTTTACCGTGTCCGCCGAACAAATCCAATCGAAAAAGGTATGCTCTTTCCCATATCGGGAGCAAAGTTGTATAACTTCTCGAAGATCTAGTATCACCAAGGGAATTCTCCACAGGCAATCGTTCTGGTTTCTCCAAGTTTCTCCCTCCATAAACGGTCATAGGACGTAATATAGTAAATATTCTTTTGTATATTGCACATTTGGATTGCGTCGTCAGATCAGTTGTATTAAATTGAAGAAGATATCTTGTTATTCTAATCTTATGATATACTTCATTTCACCATAGGAAAACATTGGAGAGAGACGTCCGCGGGAGTTCAGACGGAACAAAACGTTCCGATGTGAGTTGAAATCAGAGAGCTTGGTCAATGGTGGGAATGGAGGGCTTCTTGCTCTGCCGTCAAACGAACAAACTTCAATCAAAGCAAAACCAGGTCGTACGCGCAATTTCGAACGCACGCGTCATCGTTTAGTCAACTAGCAAGGGACATCTCTCGTCGACGTTTTGAGGTGTTCAAATCTGTCGATTGGAAAAAATAATTGATTATCGTCAACATATGCGGACACGTTTGCCGGCATGACTGATGACTCGCACACACGCATACATTTCCTTTCTGTGGAGAGCCAGTCACGCAAGTCAGCTTTAATATTAATCGTTGAAGAGTTGGATTGATATGTGCGTACCGGAAACTATGCGTCTCGTACACTTACATGCGCCCTCACACTCAGCCGTACATTATTTGACGACTGCGCAAGGAGACCTGCTTCAGAAATCACTCAAGGTTACACCCCTGCAGAATGCCTGCATGATCGTGGTGATAGGCCTCGAGAAGATACCTTTTGGTCAACAATGCTTTTAATTAGTCTACCGACGGACTCAGTTAAAGTATGATGTGTGCTTGCCCTAAATATTCACAATGATTGAAAGGCTTGATGATAGCAGCGCGCATGAAGAGTGGTCACTTCTTTGCAGCAACGCGGTTCATCGCTGTCAGTCACTATGCTTCAGCAGTTTAGCCGTGTTGAAACTTTCCAAGTATGTTCTCGCGTGTTGCCTATCTGATCCAGATTCCAGCGTGCTGCACAAAACACGGGTGAACACACTTATACAAAATTTGGTACACATGCAACGCTGAAGTTGTATTATGTTGAACTGGCGCAGAGAATGTTGGTTTTGAAAGCTGACAGGATCAGCTGAGCTACATACGCCCCTATAGCGATAGATCCGAATGGAATACTCACAGGAAAGGAAACTCTTTCTACGCAATAAAGCAATCAGCCATTTGGTTGTCCATCGGTTGTAAATATGCACTGAGGTGGTCGTAAGGAAGATGCCATAGGCAACTGCTACAGAATACTACTGATGAATTGGGATAAAGCGTTAGCAGTTCTGCTCTTGGTCATCGTTTCATATCTTACTATTCATAAGTTGCATGCACTCGTTTGTTTCTTTTTAAAATACAGCAGCCATTCAGTGCTGACAATTCGATTTTTCAGATACCCTCCCATCTTACGAATGTACTGTTATTCGATGTTATCCTGAACACGTTTCCTTTGCAACACGTATTGGTTCAAAGGATATCCAATCTGTTCCTGACGACCCGAGATTTATTTGCACTACTAGTTGTAGATACACACGATTCACATGCTCTTTGTGTTCAACCAACACATTGTCAGCTACAACTGCACTTTGACGCGCGTCTGTATCGGGTGATATTATGATTTTCCAAAACAATGTGGTATGCACAAGCTCATTCGTACCAGTACAAGCGGCTTTTACCCCGTGTGGATAGTAACTTGTATGTTTACTTACTGTCATAACTGCTAGTCATTAAAACGAGATCAACTTTACAACAGCAATGATGCTTGTAATGAACATGTGCACGTGAGATGGAAATTATGTGACTATTGAATCGTTCCAAGGTTGCACTATTGGCACTATTAATTATGCAAATATCGAGTCGCAAAATGGAAAATGATATACGCACCACCAGCAAATTCGACTTAAGTTTATTCTTGTAGGTGTAGCGTAGCTTCAGAGAGGAAGTAGTACTGATTCAAGGTGTCAACGCTTGTTGTTTTCCGCAGCGTACTAATTAAAAGATTTCAAGGTTTGTTGTGTTTTTGAAGTACCAAGGATGTATTAACCTTGGCGAAATAAGAAGGGGGAAATAAAGTAGATAGGCTCGATGATCAATGCTCACTAAATAGCCAATACATAGATATACAGCTAGGATGAGCGCGTGCCTTGGATGAGTTCTGTAAATGCTTTTGCTTTCTCGTTGTCAGCGCGATCTCAATCAACATATTTGCAACATTAGACTACACGCATGTCCTGCATGACATAGTCATAAAGCTCAGTTGATTCTACAGCTGAACAATCGTTATATACTCTGTGCTCACCAACGCCAATTGTATACTTGGAGGTATACAGCGGATACATGATAACTCAGAATAGTGCTTGAGTAACAGTTTTCAGCTCACACGTCGATGTTACTTCTACGACAGGGTTGTTTGAGTTGCCAGTAGGCAGCGACACCGCCTTCGTGAACAGCAAAGGCATTCCGGTACAGGTCGAACACTATCTCATCAATCGTTAGGAAATCGCGCATGTCCGCAAGTGCGAATGATCCGGATTCCGTGGTGTGTACTTGCAAGTGCTTCACAACATCCTGTACAGCGTAAATAGATAGGGTATTAGGTTCTATAATGTTAGCCAGAACGCACGCTAGATACCTCTTATGAATGTTCTCCATCTAAAGTGGGATTATAAACATGAATAATAATGGCGCTCACAAACACACAAAAGTGCTTTATTGATCTGCAGAGGGCTAGGGAAAATAATAAAAAGTACTGCCTTTTGTACGAGTCCGATCGTGCCAATTATATATATAAATCTACAATAGGCCACTAACATGGATCACGATCATACACTCTGTAGCAAGAAATACCCATCCTTACCTGTTGTACACAGGATATTACTTGGTGGTAGCTCTTCTCTGGCGAATATGCGGTGCGCAACAGGAACGAACCATCACGACCATCCTTTCGCAGGTACTCGACAGCTTCATCTTCGCTTAAATCGAGCACAGCGTAGGTATTGAAAGCGAACGGAAAGGACCTGTCTCAACAAAACAACATAGAAACATGGCAAAAATGAGATTCTTGGTGGTTTGTTGTGCTGACAAACATCGCTACACCGAAGCGACTAAAAAACTGAAATATAACACAAAATGTGCGACGAATTTGACCACATTTCTTTAAGCATTGCTATCAAGCGCACTTATTGATATAAGCAAAAAAAAACTTACGTGCAAACATAACAGGGCAATGGCGTTCCGATTTTAGTCTCCGTTGATAACTGCAATTCATTGGCACACCCCCAGTGGTAGGTATGGCCGCACGCCGCAACATAGAGCGCTTCCCCGCGTTTCTTCATTACCTGTCCACACAAGATGCACATAGCAGTGCGCTCGTGCGACTCGTAAGCATGATGTCCGCGTTTAGTGTGGACACCACTCCATGCTTGTCCCTGAGGTATGTTTGGATGACAATGCTCCTGCGTAAGGAGTGTATCGTCTACTGACGCTTGCGGTTCTATGTGCACAGTCATGTCTGTGCACACTTCCAGACAGCCTCTTATTTCTGTGCACGCATGCACTGACTGTCCCACTTCAGCAGTCAAGTGACAATCGCACTCAGACAATGTATACTCGAGCGCATGATTGCACGGTTTTCCTACCATTAGACCAGGCGAGGGCGTCCCACAGGGTGCGTCAATCGAAGATGTACTTTTAGTGCGTTCATGGTATCCGAAACTACTCTCACTGCAGCTTGAAAGCGAACTAGCATTCGTGCCGAAGCTGTCTTGGTGCCGAAGCTGTCCGCTAATAGTGGCATTGGAAGTCCTGCTTGGGGGCCTAGTAGAAGTGCCGTGAATAGCGCCTTCAGACAAAGTATTTACACCCCGATACGATCTCACAGCTTCGCCTTCACTATTGGCATCAAGGATCCTATCAATCATTCCCTTTGTGTACTCTTCAAATAATGCCGCGTGCGTGCTGTACTCATTATCTTCAGTCGACTGCACGTCGTGATCTGATCTCTCCCTGCTACGACGCATTGCCAAACTCTCATACAGATGCATATATGATGGCTCCTCGGAAACCTGGTATGAATCTCCGGCATCGAATGCTAGCAATTCCCGCTCAGTGGTGCTCCTGACCAAGCCTAACGTCGTGCTATGGGAATTGCTGCTTGGGATCGCAGGAACACTGGAATGTGGTTTTATTACCAACTCGGCAGATTCCGACGATGCGCCAATACCACCCTCGTATATTTCATTCTCACTCAGACCTATAAAATGTGCGCGAGATCGACCGTTAAAGAGCCCCGAGTGGCGGTTGCTTGTGCGTGGTAAACCACCAGTCTCTTTGCTATGTTTCTGACTGCTCTTTAGAAATCCGTTCTTTTTATCTCTCTTAACATCTTTCCCGTTCCATTTCATCCCTGTGTACGAACCTGCACACTTCACTTCGGGTACAAAATTCTCAGGTGTGGATATACTTCGACCGTTTCTGTTCTTCGCAAGACCCAGCGACGTATTAACCTTTCTGATGGACGCAAGAAAAGTGCTATTTGGCCTCTTTGGATCACTATGGCGGCGAACGTGCGTGCGCCTAGGTTCTGGTTTCAAACATGCGTTCGTAGGTATGTTACTAGCTGTTCTGTTGATTCTAATGGGATGGGGAGGCACAGAACGGGATCGGTGCTGTGCATCAGATAGTGAGTCCATATGCTCGTTCATTGCTTTACCTCTCTTAATATCACTTCGGCTACTGCTATTTGGTGCTGACAATTGTTTCTTGATATCACTTCGGCTACTGCTATTCGGTGCTGACATATACTTCTTACCCTTATCCTTTGTGATATGCAAAGACCGCAAGCTAGAACTACCCCCTTCCACGTATTCTGTTGGACCTGCCACCTTCTTAGTCGACACCCAGGACGTAGGCAAGCGTAATGACCACTTCTTCCGCTCCACTTGAGCACTTGTGTGTGTATCCTTGTACATTTTCTGCGTTTGTGATTGCAATTGCGAGCGCGAACTAGTTTTCCCACGGCCAACCGAGGCTGTTGACACGAGTGCCAATAATTCGTCCGTCTCTGGACTGTGTCGCGTGCATTCCAGATTATGTCGCTGTGAGTTCTGATATGCGGAACTATTACTATTACAAGATAATCCACTGTCCTGACGCTTCATACGCCCGTGTTCAGGCACAGAGCGGTGTCTTGTGGCTGATACATCCATATCCGCTGCACTTATCGATACTCTGCGCACTCTTTCAGGCGAGGTCTTACGATCTTTAGTGTGACACTTGTACATGGATTCGTGTACCAATCCTGCTAGATGAGCGTCTAATGGAGTCACGCTGCGTCGAATATCTAAATAGTCATTTCTTCTTCCGCCAGACCTGACTCTAATGCTTTGAGATAATACACCCTCTCCATCGGTGGACGTATACAGATTCGACACAGGTTCAAAGCCATCTCTAAGGTAACGATCTGTGTTCTCTAGCGTTGCGTTTTCGGAAATTGACCGCGATAAAATTTTGGCGTTGATCATCGTAGTATACGTGTGAGAATTGCAATGTGGATGCCAAGCTACGGGTGATGTGCATACATTAACAAACACGCTTTAGGCATGCATACGCACTCTGGAGGATATATACGTACCTTAAAAGTACATATACACTCTTAGCATACACACGCACTTTAAGCACACAAGCTGACTTTACACAGACATACGTACTTGGACGCTCAATACTACGGACAATTCCCTAGCAGCCTTGTGCTTTTTAAAAATTAAACGGGGGTCAAGTATTTATTTATCTCGATATATTTTTTAAATATTGTTCACACGAAAGTAAAATCTCAACTTCACAACCGGTATTTGATGCATTTTATAAATAAAATTCGCGCCAAGGTTTTAAAAGCACTAAATATGAACTGATCGAGCCATGGTATTTCCCGCAAATGCCCCTTTTATTTTTTTATGTTTTGTTTCTTGTAAAAAACAAAATATGTACGTACAAGAAATAAAAACATCCCCAGAAAAAAACATAGCCCTCTCTAAATTGAACAACAGAGGGCTGTGGAAAAAACCATAAAAAAATGGTTGGGCGCCAGCGTCACGTACATCCGATCACAGTTGCTTATAAAATATATATATATAACATAAAATATCGTCGTACATATAGTCATATATTTTTATATAGACATATTCAACGGTGCATTTTATGTCCCGCCTTCGCTTATTCAAGCTTTTTATGCATCCACGTGACATATTTGTACAGTCGAGTACACGTTATCAATGTTATTATCAGAGTTGCGTTTAGTGTCCCATTTTTGCTTGAAGCTTTTTGTGTTTTCGTATAGGGATAAAGCGTGACTCATTTGTTCATACGTTATTAACGTCATACTGGTATGTATTTAGAGTTGGTTTATGTCCCATCTTTGTTTTTTAAGAGCTTATAGATCTATAGGGATAATGCGTGGAAGCTATATAAAGCTAGAATTAAGCAACTGTAGTCGACTTACCACGCAAATAGAAACCTAAATTATCTGCGAAGAGCTGTTCATTGTATTTGTTGGATGTATTCTATGTTCGTTTGCTTCATACATATTTATTTGGCTTTTCCTTCTTCGTTTGAATCTTATAAATGGTTTAGCTGTTAAATTCAAGATATAAGCGACGCGAATAAAATTTTATAATTATTGTAGGTGGTGCTTACATAGTGCGAGACCAGTGGCGTATCGGCATATCTCATGAACAGTATACAACTGCACTATCATGCCCAAGTAACAATTATTGTGCCCTACTTCTTAGATTTATAGGAAGGCCCAGTTTGAAAGAACTCAAGCTTCATCCAATTCTCAGTACAGTTGGTCACGTCACGAACCTAGCTGTCCTCGTGATGTTAATACTACGTTGACCCCTGATGCGCAAGCCAGCCGTTCTCTAGGAATGCTGTTGCGATATAGTTCCATGATTTATTTATTTCGCAATTTAAGTCTTGTATCACACTGGTAGTATGCACTTGTCCGCTGTAGGGTGTTTTGCAGACTTAATTTCTGTGATCGAATAGCGTAGGTAGTCTATGGTCGTGTTCTTGGCGAAGGAGCATACAATCAAGTACTTGGACCTTCTGAGATCAACCATGATATGTCCAGTTGAAATGATTCTATGGATTCTTGTCTTACCACTGAAGTGATTCTGGACGAATTCAAAATGAGAATGCAGAGTTTTACACTTCAAAGTTCGTTGACAAAGCAGAACTCGCCGATGTAACATAAGATCGTCGCAAGTACAAGTTGAGTGACATGTTATATAGTAGAGAACGTGGTCAAGTAATGATTTTGAAGATTGCTTTTTACAATCAAGCAACTGCAGGAGGGGTCCGCCTGTGCCACCGTGATTTGCGATAGTCGTTTGTATTTATCTCATTGACATGGAAAGGTACTTCTTGTATGTAGCCAGCAGCAATATGTGTGTGCGTGTGTGTGTGTACACATACATATATATGTGTATATGTATATATATATATATATGTATATGTATATATACATGTATATATATATACACATATATATATATTGATATAATAATATAATGATATATTGAAATATATCAGTTACGCGACGCCACCCATCCTAGTTATTCTTTAGCATTTGCACTTGTTCTTCCAGTTGTTCTCGTTTGCCCACACTCTTCTCCGTGAGATACTTCCAGGTGGCTTCTTCTGCCCAGGGTTTGTGGTAGAAGACCGCCGATCTCTCTTCCTCCGCATTGCCGCGCAAATTGTGGGCTGTCTGAAGGTCGAGAATGATACAAGAAGGATGTAGAGAGTTACAATCGCGATATCGTGAGGAGTTGCTATTATCATTCCCTAAAAAAAAACCGACTGCGAATAATGCTCCACCAGAAATACTTCAGTGAAGTTTCAAGCCACATTTCAGATATAGTTCTATCATCAGAATATACTTCATTCGTTATAAGATTTCGATAAATATAAAAGCTAATTGAAGTTGCGGCACACATTACCTTATAGTCTCTATATTGTGATTCGACCCAGCTCTGTGAGAAGGCCACCGGATCCGCAGCGAATCGTTTCATGAAATTTCGTTTTTTCATTGCCTCTTGCAGTTTTGCGATCTTTGTCTTAATCTATGATAGAGAAAATAATATAAAAAGGTTGGCATGCAAGTTGGAAACTCAATTGGTACCGTGTTCGGTATACGCACGCATCCCGCACCTACCTGGGATACGATTGATTGTCAATTTACCGAGGTTCCAACGAGGCGCAATATACCAAAACCCATAGGAACATATAGCCATTGAACAACTTTAGCTGCAACACAACTGATTTCGCATGAGCATGCAAAGCGCACACAAAATACGACTTATACGCGCCCGCACTCTCCTCACTGAACACACCAATGTACGTCCAATTACAAAATAACCAAGGATACACGGAGAAAACGTACGTAGATTTTAACTGTGCTACCAGAAAAAGTATGGTCTTCTACAGTGAGTACGAAGTTTTGAACGCATTTGTGCAAAAATTGATATTGTCATCACTTTGTGCCACAAATGAGAACACCCATCCGCTCACGCAGCCTGACTGAGACCACCGTGCAATCAAGGCACGCCACGCCGGTGACCACACTACTTTCAGATTAAAATACGAAAACATACCTCACAACGATAACTTTATAAAACCACGAAACGAATTCACTGGGACAACCCACGAGCACGCATGATAAACTGACCTGATGGTCGAATTGATTAATTTGATTAAGTTCGCCATCGACCGTATTCAGCAAAAAATTATGTGCTTCCGTGCGCTGTATGTTGTCTCCACCCTGCACCTCAATATCCACGACTAGATCCTTGCCTTCGCCGTCCCCAGGCCTAAATGACCACCGCGAAAGTGGTGTGATAAATTAAGACCGTCAGGCTTTGCAAGTTTCAGCACACAAATAAATATTCAATTGAGATTTGACATCCCGTCGTAGCGTTGCAGGTGTTTCCACAGTACCATACAGATGCAGAAAGCCTCGCAAGAACTTATCCAGCATAGACTATGCGTGGATATACTCGCCGAAGTCGTGAAACAATTGAATACACTTGTAAACGTTAAACCACAATCAAAAGTATCAGCAAATACGTATTAAAAGTATCAGCAAATACGTATGTCGTACTGAGCTTAACTAACCTGATTTCGTATTCCAGGGCAATTACATCCAAAGGTAATAAAAACGGTCGCAATTCCGCTGCGAGCGACGTAAAGTCCATCTCAATACGGCCGAAAATCTGTTCAAAGAATATCGTGTCAGTACTTTCAATGCTATGGGTTAGGTTTGAGGAACGATGCCTACATGTTGAAGACTGTCAGCCACAAAATTCACCCTCTAAGATGAGAAGCATATGCGGCAAAAGGAATTACATACCTGTTGTAGATATATGTCGTTGATTATCCTTGTTTTATCTTGGAGTTTATTCTTCTGCATGAACAAGTAAACATAAACCGATTGGCAGTTAGTACAATTACCTAGTCCGCGCGGGACGTTGATAGCTTACCTAAGACTACTCTGACAATGCCGAAAGTCATACACTGCCAAATGAATGAGCATTTCTCTCTGATACTACGGTCTAAAATAACCCTCGAAAACTCATAGCTCAACGATATGTCGGCTGCATTTCAGTCCGAAAACTCTGGCACAGACGAAGTGTGTGAAGTACTGAAAGGAGACAACCCGGATAGCGTGCTTTTACATACACCTGTAGAATGAAATCTGCTGATTGATGCCGTGAGATTTGCATGTGGTTTAGACATTCACAAACCTGTATATACTGCCATAGGGCAGTGATAATAAACGAGCTTGTACCCCTCTCAATTCCCAACAGCTTCGCAAGCCTCGCATCCAGTTTGTAAACTGGGGGTTGGTTGTCTCGTTCTAGAATGAGCTTGGCCTGTCACATCAAGAGTATGTGGTGGAAACATTACGAAATGGTAGGCTGATAGCACCTGATGGAGCTGTTAGCACCCGGCGGGGCTTTTAACCAGCAAACAATAAAATGCAAAAGAAAATGCATTTAACGCAATCGATCATTATGGTGGTCAGTGAGATTAGCCCCGAATGCGATTAGTAGTTTTGTATATACAGAAACTTGTATCAGCCTCCAACCACGTTTATACACAACATACTGTTGTGTTGATTGTTCCTTTTCTTTTTACTTCTATTCCGTCCAGATCTGCCAAATCCGCTGGGCGATGCCACTGTGTTGGTTTTAAAAGGTAGTGGATGCTTAATGAAAGGTGAAGAACACTCAAGAGCAAACAAAGCGGCCGGCATACTAATGGAACCTTTTGTATGGCTTCCCTATTCTAGATTGGTATTGCGCATGCTGAGGAGTGCTTTTCCTGGAAGACTGGTGAGCTTACACGGACTAAAATACACTATGTAGACATGACCACGGGTACATACCTCCACTAGATGCTTGTCTTTGTACTCGTCCTTATTCAGTTCGATTACGATCTTAGAGAAGAAACTCGAAAACTTGCGGCGTCTCTCCTTAATTGCTATATCATCCAATACTTTCCCCTCAACTCGTAATGTCCAAGCATCCTCTTCCGCTTTAGCGGACACTGCCATAAATCCAACCGTGTCCCACATGTGAGCATGATGAAGTCAAGGATACTTCAGAAGGGAAAACGCAATGTTTAGGATGCGAGGAGGCACAGATAAAGTACGTAGCTTAATCCCATATCCACCTGAGCACTTAGCAAAGCCGTAGTGAATATACCCATGAATCCGGATTGATGGTGCACTTGCGAAGGTATTTAGCTTGCCAGCATATCGAGCAGGTTTGAACTCAAACGTGTACATTGAGTACCACAACTACCACGCAAGCAATTCAGATTCAGAACATATCCACGTTCGACACGACTAACGCAATCGTGCATACAACATACAAACAAAGCAGACATATACCGAATATTCGCAGTGTCTTCGTTGCTCGATGGGGACGTCGCAGGTGATCCTGTAGCTCGAACCGTTTGCGCATGATCATTGCATCGAGTCTTCGCTCCAACACGCACAAGCGCTTATAGGGAATAGAATTGACATCCACAGCTTCAACCTTACTGTGTATCCGATAGTGTATAAATGTTTTTGCGCCATTTCTTATTTAGTCAATGGGAAAACCGAGTAGGTGTGTCGACACGTTTGGTGCCCTAGACGGTTAGGTGGAGACACTGAAGAAGACACTAAACTGTCAGATTGTTGGCATGTAGCGAAAATTACGCCAATACCACACGTTCTAAACCACCATCATACTGCCGCAGATATGTCACTCACATCTAAAAAAACAGCAATTATCAGTACGGCCCTTACCAACCATGCAACCAGCCTGTTTGATACTTTCACAATACCTGGGCAATTGTCGCTCCACCCTTATTATTTTCCTCTTCTTTTTTGGTTTACGATTTGGTGATACGTTTCCTCCCGTATGCCCGCTAACGCGCAAAGCATCGCGTACTTCCTTGGAATTACCATGTTTCTTCTTCTTCGGCACCTTCGACAAAATCAGTCGCAATACAAGGAACAGATTGTCAGTTGTCGTTCTGATTCGATTTTCACCTCACAGCGATCTTGTCGGTACGACATATAAGCCGGACGTCGAGGGTGGACTACGCTTCACTGCTCTTCCAACCGAGTATCTAGCCATCCACGATTTGCCCGACAGCCATCGAAAAAACAATTAAGCAAATGTTACAAAAATCTAATGATAAATTTAATATATATATATATATATGTATGTATGTACGTATGTACGTATGTATATGTCTATACATATACATATATATAAATATAAATATATACATATATATATATGTATGTATGTATATGAATAAGCGTGTCTGTGTGTGTATATATATATATATGTGTGTATGTGTGTGTGTGTGTCACGTGTGTGTGTGTGTCGTCACGTGTGTGTGTGTGTGTGTAGTATGTTGTGTAGTTAGT